CGCCCGGCTGATTTTTTTGATTTATGTAGAGATGAGGTCTTGCTGCCCAGGCGGGTCTCGAACCCATGGGCTCAGGCAATCCACTCACCTCAGCCTCCCAAAGGCGCGGGATTACAGGCTGAGCCACCGAGCCCGGCTCTTTTCTTTTTTTTTCTTTTTGAAGTTGGAGTCTCACTCTATTGCCCAGGCTGGAGAGTGGTGGGCATGCTCACTGGCCCTTTACCGAAAAAGTTTGCTGACCCCTGATTTAGACTTTTAACATCTAATGTGATTGTTAATATGGTTGGGTTTAGGCCTATTACTTTATTGTTTTCTTTTTTGTTTGTTTTTTTCTTTTCTCCTGCCCTGCCTTCTTTTGGATTTTTGTTAGTATTTCATTTTAATTTATCCAGTGGATTTTGTTTTTCCTCTTCTTGAGTCAGTTATCCACTAGATATATTTCTTTGTATTTTTTAAGTGGTTGCTCTAGGTATTATAATATCTAGACTTTTTCAATAATAATCGAGGGATTTACAATATCTAGCCTTTCCACTTAATATTATACTATTTCATAGTGGTGATGATAAAATTTTGCAGTCATATACATGTACTCTCCTTTCATCTCACTGCACTGATTTTATTCCTGTAGTTATGTCTTTGTACCTTGAAAACTGCATCAATGTTAGAATTTTTGCTTTTAAAAGTAAAATAATACATGTTTTTAATAAGACTTAAAGGAAAATAAGTGTTATCATCTCTTTTTACTCTTCATTTCTGAAGAGTACAATTTCCATCTAGTCATTTCTCTTTAGTCCAAAGAACTTCCTTTAGTATTTATTGGACATCAGGTCTGCTGGTGATGAGTTCTTTTAGTTTTCCTTCATCTGGACGTGTCCTCACTTCTCATGCATTCCTGAAGGAATATTTTTCAATGAATATGGAATTCTGGGTTATTGTTCTTTTCTTTTAGCACTTTAAAAATATTATTCCATTGTCTTCTGGCATAGCATGCGGTATATCATGATGATAGTCTCTGGTGATCATTTCTGATGAGAAATCTTCAGAAATTTGAATCATTGTTCCACTTGAACTTAGCTACCATATCTTGGGTCTTGTTTACCTTACCTTGCATAGTCTCTGATATATAGTAGGCAACCAATAAATGTTTATTACATTGAATTTATTTTTATTGCATTAAGTTTTTAGTGTTTTTTGAGATTAGATAGGCTCATTTAGGTTCCATTTTGGCAGGATCTAAATTGCTCAATAGGTGTTATTGCTGTTAACTTTATAATACCAGATATTTGACTAGACCCAAATAGCCAGACCAAAAAAAGCCATGGATTACCCATTTTCTCAAACAAGTCTCTTTCTTCTATTTTTCTTTGGTGACTTGGGTTTCTTTCCATGTGAAAGGAAAATTGGAGGCAGCAGATTTTTCAAAGGTTTTTTTTCCTCCCCTTGTTTTGCATAGATACTGACCACCATTTTATAAATAATGAATAAAGGACTCCCAGAAAGAAATGAGCCAAAATGTGATCTAGACAGGTCTATTTTATAACATTACATTTGATGTTTACTATCTACAGAGAGAATTAAATACAGCAGAGATTTCCTGTTAAAGCTTTCAAGTGTTTCCATCTGCAGAAAAAAACCAGACTTTCTGCCTGATCATCCCATTGTACTTCAAAAACCAGTAAGTAGTGTTCTAATTTTGTATTATAATATTGTAGTCCAAAAATTTGTCTTTAACATTTTCATTGGACTCTACCTCTAGATTTTAAACTTGCTTTTGCAAAATACAAGTAATTCAGAAAACTACAAAATTATAAAAGGAAAAGATAGCCAATTATTATAAAATGATTACCAGTCTACTCAAGAAATAGAATGGAAAAGTTGCATTTTGTTTAAGAAATAGTATTTAATTAAAAGGTTATGAAAATATTGTCCCATATTCTAAAAGTTCTATTTTGTTTCTCAGTAAGGTCTATAATCTACCTAGAATTGGTTTTGATGATGTATTGGTCAAGTTTTACTTTTTTCTGCAAGGATATCCATTCATTTTAGCAATATTTATTGAAAAGATTGTCCTCTGACCCTTTTGTGGCAATATATGCATGGTCTGTTAGTGGGCTCTCTATTCTGTTCAGTTAGCTTTTTTTATGCAGTAAAATAGGTCATCCCACTTATTTTTCTTCAGCATGTCTTTGCTAGTCTTAGCCCTTTATATGTGTATGTTATCCTATCAAATTCTGTCTCAATAAATACATAAAATATATCTTTTAGGATATTCATTGGAAAGAACATGAGTTTTGATATCAGGCTTGGGTTCAAATTGTAGCTCCATTCTCTATGCTGGTAGTCCAAACTTGAACAAGTTACTTAACCTCATTGAGCCTCAGTTTTCAATTGAAGCTAAGGATGATCATCTCTAGTTGTTAGAATTAGTAAAATAATGTGTGAGAGCGCTTAGTATGGTACTGTCTCTAATTATGCAAATGATTAGTAAATGATTTCCCTCAAAAGTAAGTACTTTTGACTGGAAGTTGACTTTCTGTTAGAGTTTTTATAAACATATATATATATAGGTAAAGGCAATTTAATTCTCTTAAAATGAGACTCAAAATATAGGTATGTTGAGAACAGCTCTAATGTAAGATTTATACTGCTATTCTTTGTCTCCATTTTGGGGATTCTTATCCTTTAGTATTCATAGAATTTTTTTTTCAATTGTAATTTTTAAAAAAGTTATGTTGTTCACAGTTTATATTAATATTTATTAATTTAAACTCTCTAACTTATAGACCTCTAGGCAATTTTTCTTTTAAAATTAAAGGAGCAATTAAAGCTTTTTTTCATAATAATTATCATACAGGAATATTTAATGAGGAAAAATGTACTTGAGGATATTTGAATTTTTGCACCTGTTCAGAGATCTCAGGGACATTTAATCCTTGGTCTAGAATAAATATAAACTTCAATGATATACAATTTAGTCACTTTTTCATTTGTAGACTTTCCACCTTTAATAACATTTCGTTGTGTAAATAAAAATTTGACACATTTATTGCAAACTTATACATTAGAATTAAGTTTACTTTTGATTTACACATTACATTTTTTAAAGCTAGGTACCACAGAAACAGAACAGCAGGTTTGGAATACACTTTAATATATTTAAAATGAATTGCACATATTTTTAAACACACAAGAACTAACAATTCCAGTTACTTTAATGGTTTCTGTAACAACATGCATCTATATCTGTAAGTACTTGTTAAGTTCACAGTATTTGGTTTGATAAGATAATTAATAAAAACAGTATTCAATCAATTGATACTAACTCTTTTATATTACAGGAGAACAACCAAAGTTTTAAGTAGCATTTTAAGAACAGATGAATTTGAAGATAAAGAATTATTCATTTTATATTTTGGACACCTGCAAATAAAGTGGATCTACTAACAGTAACTGTAATGGACTGTGACTATTCAATTTATTTTTAATTTTGATGGTTGACTATTTAGCCTCTCTTAAAATGAGAAAGATATTTTAAACTATAAAGAATTTTTTAATCAGTTTCAGTTTTGTAGGCAGTTTCCTATATAAATTGAGAAGTACCCTGGAAAGTAGAAATTTGGTTAGTGAAGGGAGAAAACTGTATTTATAATTTGCATGCTACTTGGAATATTTTTCTTTTCATCACTTGTAATAATGAAATGGAAATGTAAGCTGTAAAGATTCTCAGATATACAGTATTTACTATAGTGTATATATGGTACATAATTTCTTGTTGCTTTTGTTTGTTTCCCACTGATTTCATGCCAGCTCATGAAAAGATCATTACAATCTCTCCAGAGGCTTAGAATGATCCAGGATGTTCAATGCATAGTTCTCAGTGACGAGAAGGATAATTTTTTAATAGGCATCTCTTTTTAAATAAATAATTGGTCTCTAAGTTTTGATACTAATCTTGTCTTAGATACACAATTATTAGCAGAGATTGATAATTTGGAAGCAATGGTAGCGAATGAAACCGAAGGTGAAAAACATCTGTGATTTATTTCACCAATCAGACCATATGAATTGTAGTTCAGCAACTGCAAAATAACTGATATTTTCATTTTCAAAAGAGGAAAAATTTAGACATTTGCAAATAATTGAGGTGCATTAATTTTCACTTGTTTAATTTCTTTTAACAAGAACATGTATGGATGAAGAATTTTGGCGTTTAAAGTTTATAATTCCCAGACATTTTATATAATAAATCTGCAGCATGTCACCCTGAATTTACCATTGTAAAAAAATTTTAAAAAGTTTGTTCCAGCATGCTGTCAAAAAAAAATTGCTGATATAAAGGTAAGTGTAAACTCTTCTCACTCCCATTCTCTCAGTTCCCAGGTCTGTTGGCAAGGCATTCAAGGCTATCATTTGGCAGAAAGTTTGTTTCACTGAATTGTGAACTTCTAAAACTAGTACCTATTTCTTCACTGGTTTTGGGGCTTGTTACCCAGATTCAAGCTTTTAGTCCATAATAAACTTTCCTCCTTGGTCTTTCAGTACCCTTAATAAGCTTGTTCCCCAGTAAACTGGATTTTTAAAAATAGAAAACAACTATTAACCATAAATGTATTGCTTATTTTAAAATAAGATATTTATACTTAGGGTTCAGTTTTCTCATGTTTTAACCCTACTATTTTCCTTTTATACTATAGGTTCTTGTGTATATATGCGTGTGTGTGTGTGTGTGTGTGTGTGTGTGTGTGTGTGTGAATACACATATACACACATTCACATACACTCAACTCATAAACATACACAGAAATATATATATATATATAATTTGTATAAGAACTGGGGTCAGAATTACCATATAATTAAATTGGTTTGCCTTATTATTTGCCTATTCTGAAGTATTATTTATTCTAGCTTAAAAAATGTGATAGAACTTATTCTAATTTAGAATCCAGAGAGCACTTAGCACTGTTGCTGAGGGCAGAACCCTTTTAAAGTCGTACTACTATGCTACTTTGCAAACTGCATTATACCTAAAAGACTTAATATGGTTTTTGAATTGGATACTTGAATGGACCAACAAAAGCAATGTTTTGAATGGCTACAATTTGTATTTTCAAAACCACTTATAACCAACATTTTCAAGAGTTTGTATGTCAAGATTCCTTAGGTTTTAAAGCCTTTTATCCTTTCTTAGTACATACAATCAGAGTAAGACTGCAAAAACTATTTTATCTATTTGCCTTTGTACATATGTATAACTTGTTTGAATAATCATTGTACATCTCCATTAATGTTCTTTGCTTTGTCTATAAATTAAGAGTTGAGCCAGGTGTTGTTTCATAGTGCTTGTCACCCTTAGAGTTGACCAGAGACACAAACATACACACACATACTCAAATGTATATGTGTGCATAATATGACAAAATTTACTATTTATTTCTTTAATTATTCTTTAATTTTATTTGGATGGAATGAGGACTGAGAGTATATAATAGTATTGGTAAAAGTGTAAAAGTTGATGTTTCATAAATTAATTTTAAAGAATATTTTAGATCAAGTTCTATATTTAAGAAATAAAATTTTAGCACAACTTTCCTCTTATTCCTGACATTTTCAACAGTGAGAAAAAAATACAGGAAAATTTTACCTGACAATTTTTTCGAGACTTGTGGTTTTGAAGGAATTTGGACTACAGAATAACTTGGTAACACATTTTTATATGTATTCTATTTTCATTAGCCAGGTTTATAACTGGAACAGCAGAGACTTTTATTATCAAAAATATTTTTAAAAGGTACATAGTTTTAATTATCCTACTGTTGAAACTGGAAAATAAATGTCTTCTGCCTAGTACTTTTCCTACTATTTTATGACTTCCTTAAAGTTTTGTGTTGGTTTTCTGTCTTCTATTGTTCACTTAGATTAAAATTTTTGTTTTTAAAGTATTTTGGAATCCTATGTAAATGTAAATGTCTATTTATTATAAGAAAGTTAGTATCAGAATCATGTACATAAAATTTAAACCATTTTCTCTATCCTTTTCTTGATATGCTTAACTTACAAATACTTTTAATGACAATAAATGACATAATGATGTTATATTACAGAATGGTATTCTAACTTTCCCCAGAATTGTTTGCTCATGAAAAACCAATTATAACCTGAAAGATGGATAGAGATACATCCTATAGGTTACAGCTAAGCTTGTTTTATGCCAATGTATAACTTTTAAAGTAAAGAGAATACTCACAAGACCATGAGTTGGGGATGGAATAGACATTATTGAAGAATAAGCTTCATTCATAGAAAGTCTGGTTACTTAAATATCACAAAACACTGATTTAACCCTTAATAGTATATGACAGTTTACCAAATCTGTCCTATGAAGTAATGTTCAAAAGTTCTCTCACTTTAAATCTTTTTCTGTATAATAACACATTCTTTTTCACAATATTATTCCTTTATGCATATGCTTTTTTTAACATATTAGGATTTTGTCACTAAATTTTTTGGGTTGGTTACAATGTAGCAAAGCAATTAGCATCAAATATTGAGAATAATAGTGAACTTTGAAAATTGAGCTAAAATTCACATGAATGTATGATAAAGTTATAGAATACATTTTAAAAGAGTACACTCAGAGTAAATATATTAAACAGAGGTGTACAGTAGATTAACAATCACAGAGAATTTTCCAATCAACATTTTAGATAAGAACACTTTTTTAACACTTGGAACCATAACAAAAATGTCTAGCAACATCTAGTTGTTATTCAGGATCCACCATGAAGCTATAAAGAGAAAAAACATTTTTTAAAATAATGAAAATAACTTCTAGGGCAAAGAAAGTTCAAGGCACATCATTCATAAGGAGACCAACTCTCTCACCTTTAGTCTGCATAATTACTTTCTAGCCACCATTTCCTGATGATTGAGCCAAAATTGAATTCTTCCTGTGCAGTTATTATTTGTACCATATTGTTTGGCACTTTGTTGTAAAATATTTTCTCATATGTGAATAAAGCTTGTCTTGGCAACAAGATTATAAATGCCCTAAAGATAAAATCATGTTCTTCTTGTTTTAATCTACACAATACTGGTGGTATTAGATTATAAGTAATATTATTTAAAACTATTTATAACCTATTACAAATAGGTTATAGTATAGATTATAAATAATATTTTAGCATATATATAGTAAAATTTGACATATTTATCTGAATGAATAGAAATATCTCAAAGACAAACTTACGGCAAAGAAGTATGATTGGTAAATCACTATGAAAAACAGATAAATGAACAGGATTAAAATTTGCTTTCAAATCTATTTAATTTGTTGGCAATAGCACCTTACTTTCTTGTTAACCTCTTTTCTCATAATCATAGGCCTTTCTGCCCTACAGACCTGAGTTCTTAAACTCTTTCTGTCTGGGTGATTTATGATGGCTAATGGACCTGGGCTACTATATTTCAGTGTGTCTTATTTGAATGATTGTTATTTGAATGTTCATAGGAATATATTTTGGTTTGTATTTTCATATCGGGATGCAGTTTGGCTTAGTTGCTTTATTTGTTTAGATGTACCTTAGATAACCCACTTAGTAATTTTAACAAAAAGGCAATCTTATCAGAAATCATAATTTGTGAGTTAAATTGGAAATACAAACCTACTCTTCCTGTGTGTCTAAATGTAATAGCGGCTTTTTTTCTTTCACATTTTAAATTTTGGTCTAAATATGTGCAGCATTAGAACAATTAAAACATTTTTAATTGTTTTTCTTTTAATCTTCATAACTGTTGTAACAAAATACACAAAACTGGTTATTAAAAATATTATTAGAAGTCACATGCATTAAAACCCATAAAAAAATTTATATGCTAATTTTAGTTTGCTGGAATGTGTCGGCTGTTGTAACTATAAAACTTTCACTTTATTTAAAACATTTTTTATTTTAGATTCAGGGGGTACACATGTGTATTTGTTACATGGACATATTGTGTAGTGGTGGGGATTGGGTCTCAGGTGGCTCATTCCCCAGATAGTGAACATTGTGCCCTGTAAAACTTTCACTTTAAAATAGAGTTGGGTACCCCAATAAATGTTATAATCTTATTTGAGATGGGTTTTTAGATTTTATTAGAAATTAAATCTAACTTTTTGTTCTATCAAATTTCAATGATCATTGTTGATATTAGATGTAATATGAAAATTAATGAAAAATAGGGCAGCAATTAAAAGGCATTAAATTGTATTTGATCTGGGCTCAGAGACCAAGAATTGATCCAGTTTCATTTGCACTCAGGAATTTTTGTGTTTTTTCTTCTTTTTTTGAGTCAGAGTCTCGCTCTGTTACCAAGACTGGAGTGCAGTGGTACGCTTATGGCCACTGCAGCCTCGACCTGCTGGGCTCAGGCGATCCTTCCGCCTCAATCTTTCAAGTAGCTGGAACTACAAGTGTGTGCTACTATGCCAGGATAATTTTTTTTCCTGGCTATTTAAAAAATTTATTGTAGAGATAAGATCTTATCAAGTTGATCAAGCTGGTCTCAAACCCCTAGTGTTGAGAGGCGTGAGCCAAAGTGCTGGGAGGCGTGAGCCAAAGTGCTGGGAGGTGTGAGCCAGTGTGCCCTGCTGTACTCAGTTTTTCTCTCTAAATTGAGAAATGCTCTGAGAGAAAAAGTAACATAATGTGCATACCATTAACACTAGTAGTGCATAGAAAGTTAATCCAAGACAATTATGAAGTAAAGTTGGCCCAGAAAACTCTATCAGGTTACTTCACATTTCATTTCTTGCTATAGCATTCCCCCTCCCTCCCACCCTACTGATAACTTGTTAGCCTCCTTTCTGTCCTCTTTTTTCTACTCTATTTTTATTCAGGTGTTTTCTTCCTGGAAAGGTTCAAGCCACTAATAAGAGCAAACTTTGTTCTTTTTTTTTTTACACATTGTGAAACCAGTGGTGTCAGGATTGGGAGAGTTGAAAATGAAAATGATGGCAGACACAAAGATTACAAGGGTCAGGGCTTCTTGGAATTTTCATGACTGATAATGTCAAAAGTCATTATTCATTCATTTAGGAAATAATTGTTTCTTTGTGCCATACATTTTACTAATACTGTATCAGGGCAGGGAATGTGAAGATGTAGATGTGAAAATAGGATGTGGATCTCACTTTCCTGCATTCTGTGTTCAATACGACAGCCATCATTTTACAGAAGTTGTGTTCTAGGACTTTTCTTCCCATTGATGACAGATTGTTCCAGCCTGGCATAATAGTTAAGCTAAAACTTTCCTGGATAAAGTGAAAGTAATCACTGAAGTCTTTTCCTTAACCTGTGCTACTGCTCTCTCACCTGCACCTATCTCAGGGTATGGTGCATCCTAATTTATACTGCATGAGTCAAATTGTGAACCATGCAAAATTTCAACCATATTCATGGATTTCCTATTTGGGGATTAAATTTGAGCTATATTGCAAGAAAAGTTCTACTGTTCTCTGGGTCAGACAAAACTGTCTTTAAGATCTGAAGTGAATATATAACTAGAGCTCAGGCTGAGACTGTGAATCAGTCAACCTGATCTCTCTTGTCTGCTCACCCAGCTTTAATTCCAGAATTTACTTTTTCACCTTCCATTTGTTCCCCCAATTCATCAAAATCTACCCTAATTTTAAATTCCTACCACTCTATTAAAATTGTTCACTCGAACAGTGACCTTGTCAAATCCAATTTCCAGTCCCATTCTCTTTAGTCACTTTCTCTCCGCCTCCCCTGGAGGCTGTATCCTTGCATTTTACTCCTCTTTTTGTTTCCTTGATACTCCACGACTATGATCCTTCTGGCTCTGATTGGTTCCCCTCCTTCTCCTTAATAGAAGAGGCTTTTCTCCTTCTACCAGCCTTTTAAAGAAAGACATCTCCCCAGGTTTCTCTTAGATATTTTGTTCTTAGCTACATACTATCTTACCAATCCCCGGCTTCAACCATCTTGCTGTGGTTAACTCTTGAAAGTTGCATCAACAAATGGAGTCCCCAACTCTCTGGCTAGTTCCTGGTTTAGGTGTTTTTCTTCCCTGGCCTAGATTATTGCCCTCCTGGTTAATCTCTCTCCTCTCCATGGCATCACTTTTCTCCCTCCTGTCAGTTATTACTGATTAGACCATATTTTCACCCCTCTCTAAAACCTTCAGTTACCCCAAAGTACTGTTCTCATCCTCATTATGATATTCTTAACCTCATTTTTCACTCTCCTCTTAGCGATTCCTTTACATCAATAAACCAAACACGTTCACACTTCTTGCATTTGTTCATGTCTATCTAGAATTTACCAAAGTACCCTTCCTCTCCATCTTATCCAGATCTCATCTTTTAAGGCCCATATCAAAAGTCATTTTTTGTACAAATTATTAGATTAAAGAAATAATCACTTCTCTAAGTCCACAAAACAATGATTACTTCTAATGGTAATTACTATTTTATGCCCTGAGCTGGAGTTTTGTCTGCAAATATTTGTCTTTGCAAACATTTTGTTAAGCTGGGTAGAAAGCACTTTATGGGTAGGGATTGTGTTTTTACTTTGTACCATTTCTTGCTCCCAACAAGTGCTTTTTCAGAATTGGTGCTCAATCAGTGCTAGTAAATAGACCAAGCACCCCAGTAACCCCCACACAGTGCCTAGCACATACTAATATTCAGTAAATAAATATTTAATCAGTAATTGGATGGATGAGTAGATGATCAGATGAATTTTGATTCTCGATTGTATTAAATAAGCTTTGACTAGGCCAGACTTCTTAGACAACTTTATGTCAGATTTCTCTCTTTCCCCATTCTCCTTTCTATCAATTATAAATCCATTTTAATAGCTATTTATAGTAAAAATGTTTCTAACATAATTCTAATTTCCAGTTTATGGGTCACTTATTCCAAATTGTATTCAATAAACTTAAACTAAATTGCAACATGGTGAAACATTTGAATAATTTTTTGAAATATCATTATTTGACTTGCACTTCCAGTTTGTTAAAATGATCAGCAAGTGACTAATAGTAGGCTCAGTATAGCCAGGAATACCAACAGGGTCAACTGAGGACTAAGCACAATACAACAAATATACAGATATTTTATTTCTTTCCCCACCCCTAAATTGTAAGAGATGTAAGGAGGTAATAAGGAGAGCACCATGATGAAGAATGTGAGGGGGGAGAAGGACATACTGTTTTTTAAGATGCAAAAGATAATAAACAGGCACATAGAACCCAGGATAATTACCAGGAACTAGCATGGTAGATGTGAGTTCTGGAGTTTCCAAGAAATCCACGTTACTTCTTTGGAATGTCTTGCTATAATTTGTCTGCAGGTGGCTGTATAAACAATTATAGGTTAAGGCTGTGCATTTTAATTTACAATCTTCCTAAGCAGAGTGTAGCAGAGATCAAACTCAATCTAGATGGCAAGGTTTTGGATGATTTGGATTAAGTAAGTACCTGAATACAGACTTCTTTTTGTTGTTGTTTAGCCTTAAGAAAAAACTCAGGAATGATTTAATAATTATTATCAGAAACCTTTAAAAAGAAATCTTAAAACAGGAGAACATTACATCTCTACAGAAGATAAAACAATAGAAGTTTGACTTTAATTGCAGCAAGATGTTTAAACAGAAGAGAGTAGTATTTTGGCTGTCAGGATGTTGAAAACCAGGATAGCTAAGAAGACAGACTATACATTTTCCACTGCTAGAGAATAAAATAAATTTTTTGGGAAAAAATCTATCTTTAAGGTATAGGCCTAGAAGCACAGAATTAATTAAGTTGCTTTGTTCCCTTCTATGACTGAAATAACTTTTGTCATTATGTCTTCATTATAGCACAAAGTGTCTTTAAAATAGCCAAAAAAAAAATTTTTAGATGAAATCTGTATCAATTAAATTTCTAGTATTCTATTATTAATACTTCCATTACCATATTTAACATACTAAACATGAACTTACTCAGAGAGTCATATTTTCTGTGCTATTTTAAACCATCTGGAATCTTTTATATAATCTCTGACTAGCAAAAATTTCCTTCATCCCATTTTATTATTTTTATTTATTTATTTATTTTTTGAGTTGGAGTCTCACTCTGTAGCCCAGACTGGAGTGCAGTGGCCGCTCCCGGCCACCGCAGCCTCCACCCGCTGGGCTCCAGTGATCCTTCCGCCTCAGCCTTCCGAGTAGCCGGAATTACAGGCATGCGCTACCATGCCCGGCTGATTTTTTGATTTATTGTAGAGATGAGGTCTCGCCAAGTTGCCCAGGCGGGTCTCGAACCTGCAGGCTCAGGTAATCCACTCACCTCAGCCTCCCAAAGCGTGGGATTACAGGCTGAGCCACCGAGTCCGGCTCCTTTCATCCCATTTTTAAAAATTATATATTGGTTATTTACCAGTATTCATTTCAATTTCAAAGAAGTTAATTTGTTTTTCATCTTTGCCAATGTCTTGAATTTCCCCTTTATTTGCAGTATTTAAGGACATTTACAAGGTGTTGGGCTATGATGATCTTAACCATTATATGAAGTTTTATTATAAATTAAGATAACCATAGAGCTTATCTTATGAAAAAAATTAGGAAGTAAAGCTTTTTCTCTACTCCTTTTTCTGCATCCTTTGTCTCCATCCTGACCACTACCCTCACCTGCCTTAGACAACTATAACCCCTATCTAAATTTTATGTGAAAACACCAGTAAAATGGTAAGACTCAAAGTGGGATCATTACTAAAAGTATTTGTGTTTCTCAAAGGAAGTGATTCCTAATCCATGAAATACATGTTTTTTAAGTGTAGGATTGAGGGTAATGGGCAAATGGGACAGATTTTAAGGTGAGGTAAATGGAATGAAACTTTTCTACAAATCTTAAATTACACCATGTATAGTGCCACTTCCCTGGCTTCACAGAAAATTAGTCATGCTCACAACTTACCTATTCCACACACTGCTGTTCTCCCAGAACTCATAAATCATGTAGCGAGATTCATTTGAAAGCTTCTGTATAGAAATACTGAAATGAAAAAAAAAGTATATAATTAGCTACTGGAAATTAAAGAAGCAAACTAATTTTTTGAATCATCTGTACACATGGTATGAAAGGGTCTCATCCATTCATATTGGAAAAAAACCTATGTTGCCTGCATGAAAATCAAACAGGTTTGTCAAGAATTAATTCACTCAGTAGGTCTGTCTGGCATAAAATATTTTTAGTTTTCTGTTTTGGCATCATGGAAAAAAGTCTCAGTTTATTGTAGACATTGTAAGTATAACTTTTTGTAAAATGTTATTAATTCATTCAAAAATATTTATTGAGCTTCAGCTGTGTCATAGTTCAGAAAAATGTGAGTGTATGCTACCTGCCTTTGTCCTCACATATAGCTTTTTGGATTGGTCCTGTCAACCACCATAGCTTTGCCCACTTCTTAGTTTTACCTCATCCCTACATTGACAGGTTTTGCTTGGGGTCCTGCCCTATGCCATTTGGACCGCTTGGGCCACACTGCTGTTATACAAGTGACTCCCATTTTGCCCATCCCTTAATGATCCTCTTTCTCTTTGTCACACCCCAATTTTGTCTCTGGGCCAAGTTTGAGAGCCCACACTTTGGTCATAATTGAAGTTTTTTGTTTTTGTTTTTTAATTTACAACTTGGGGAAGATAGGTTTGTTCCTTTACAGTCCTTTTGGATAGCCTGAAGGCGACTAAGAGCCTATATCATATGTTTTGGAGGAGTGAAGAGAAGAGGCTGATTGAAAAGACAGGTTGAGGTAAAGACTAGATTTAATCCAGTAATAGTGAGGAGCCACTGAAGGACTTAAGGAAGGGAGAATAACATGGTTATTGTATGGAGAGCATGCAAAACAATGAAAAGGTAGTGAAATATACCTTAGGTGAGAAATGATAAGGATTCAAATTAATATTTAAACAGGAATAAAGAGAGAACAGATTCATAAACTTGAGTGGGAGACAAAAATTCCTTTAAAAACATAATTACAAAAGTACAACTTGTGCAGCCTAATGGTTCACAATATAGACATATTTGAAAGCAAAATGAGGAATTAGAAAATAAGAATTAACAGAGAACTTGTAAAATAGTTAATGTAGATTTAGGGTTTACCTAGGTGTGACCAGCAGGTGGCAGTAACTACACAAAAATTTATTTTTTTTTCTTCAGCTCTTTGTAAATGTTTTTAGAGTCTGGTTCATTACAGTATGATGTAACAAATGTTGTTAGCTCAACATCAGATTTTCTGTGAAAAGGTTAACTATGGAATCATAGGAGTTGGATAGAAAGTGGAATTTGTGATTTTCTAATCCCAGGAGTTCACGAATAGGCTTTTTAGGCTTCCTTGAAATCCCAGAAACAATCTGCAAATGTGCATATATGTTTTTTCCATAGGAAGATAATCCATATCTTCCATCATAATCTCAGAGGGGTTTGTAATCCCCAAACAAAACCTAACAGTGTAATGAACAAATTACAATCCATGTATTTTCTTTAGGATAAGATTTAAAATACTCAGCCCAGCATTTTCATTAACTGCTTCTTGCAAACTAATTTATTTGTATTACTTATTACATTAAAAGTCTACTTATCCAGCTATTTGAACCCTTCATTTTTCAAACTAGCCACAAGACCCTAAGAAATTCATAAAATTTTAAAGTAATGCTCAAGCTTTTAAAGGATTTAAAAGGGACATCACAATGTGAAATGATAGCAGTTTAAAGTATGGCCCAACAGACCATCCACTATTTGTTGTTGTTGTTTAAATGTGAACAATTTGTCTTTGTGTTGTTGTTCTTTTACAGATGTGGGGTACAATTCAGGGTTAGGCATACAAATGTGTGTCATGCACGGTACCCTTGTTGATGAGGTATGCCCCTCCTTCCCCTGGCAGTTTCCCTCAACTGCCAATCCCACCCCCCTTTCCCCTGGCAGTTTCCCTCTACTGCCAATCCCTTTCTTATAGTATTAAGATAATTGTTCAAGGTCCGCTTATGAGTGAGAACATACCATCCACTATTTGTTAGCTGTGTCACTTTGGGCCCATTAATCAACCTCAGTGTTCTCATCTGCAAAATGTGGTAATAATAGTACTATGAGGATTAAATATGGTGTTGCATGTCGAATGCTTAACCTAGTACTTGGCATATTTGTGTGTGTGTGTGCGTGTGCGTGTGTTTGTGTGTGTGTGTGTGTGTGTTTAATTAGTAGTTAGCCCAAGAGCTTAAAGAAAATTATCACTTTCATTGGGTGAATAGCTATGAAACCTAAGCTTTAAGAGTGTCAAAGCTAAGAAGTAAAAAAGGAACAGGGGTGAGGGGGCAAACCAGAAAAGAAACTGAGGGAAAAGTGGACATATCCATAAAAACAATAAGATGTAGCAAGCTAACTTAATAATATAAGCACTAATAATAGTGATGGTGATGATGATTTCTAACATGTGTTGCTCTGTTCCAGGCCCCAGTTTAAGTATTTTACATGGATTAAGTCATTTTACCTTCACAGCTCCTCTGGGTGTCATGGGGCTAACACTGTCTATTGCCTCCTCAACTGCTGCTCTCCTCTTGCCAACAGGACCCTGCCATTGTTCAGTTTGCAATGTACCCAATCGATGTGCCAATTAGTGCTGGACTGAGACTGTCATGACATTCTTATTCCCCTCCATGGGACACTTGTTTCCTAATGTCCCCCGTAGCCAGGAATGGCCCTGTGACTTGAGTTCTGGCCAAGGAGATGCAGAGGGAATTATGCTGGGAAGCAGAGGCAACAAACCTTTGCATCCTTAGGATCAGATAGATGAGAGCTTGCTGGGACTGCACCTTTCTCTTACTTCCCGACTGTAGGCCATCTGGTGAAGACCCAGATGGCAGAGCTGCAAGGCAGATCTGGGGTCTTTGAATGACAACATTAAACTAGAAGTAATCTTGAGATTGCTACCTCCAGTCTTCTTGTCAATATGAGACTATTACTATGCTTTCTCTAGACTGCAGTTGCAAGCATTCCTATCTCATATGGGTAGATGCTATTGTTTTCTCCATTTATTTTTCCCCCATTACTTATGGATTTGTGGATCAGAAAACTGGGGAATAGAGAGGCTAAATGACTATCCAAGGTCACACAGCTAGTAGTGAGTAAACTATGCTTTGAATTTAGGCATTTGGGCTCCGAGAGCTGCACTCTGGCAAAGAGCAGGAAACCTACAAAAGGTGATAAGAAGCTCTGTGATAACTGAGCACAGATTTTGTCCCAAAGGGACAGGGGTGAAAATGCTGACCCAAATTGCTTTATGGACTTGGTGCTTTCAAAAGGCCAAACAGACCAATATAGGGCAATGACATTTAAGGACATTGATATTTGAGACTCTATGATACAGATAATGATGTTTATGCAATGATGACACTGAGACAGAAAGAAAAGGTCAACTATGAAATAATTTTTACAAAGCTTTATGTTAGCAATTGCTAAACAGCTTAGGGCTTGAATGATAAGCTTTCAATTATTTGTAAACTTAAAACTGCACAATACACCACTGATCTGTTGTTTATTTGACTCTACTAACCAAGAACGACCTCTATCTTTCTCCTTGACATCTTTATACTTCCTGTGATACTTAACACTCACTGGTGGAAGCAAGAGTTCTTTGGCTAAGCTGTTTCTGGGTGCAGTCCCTGAGACCTTCAGCCCTGAGCTTGAGGAGACCTTGAATATATTCCTGGCAACTGGAAAATGTGTCAGTGAAATGGCTTTGAATGGAAAAGCATGTGGCTCAGGAACAGCTGGTGTTAAAGCTTTTACCTGAGGCAACCATCCATAATAGATAGGACCCTCCCTCTTGGCTTCTTCCTTCCCCGTGTACATGTCCTACTTAGCCCACAAGGCCTATGAAACACAACAGGAGAGACAGTCCTCACATATCTCCATACTGAACTCTGGCCACTAATTTATTTCATCTGTAGAAATACTGATAAATAATGAAATGGGTCAATGTGCCATCATTAGTTGTTTTTTTTTTCATTCCATTTTAGTTCTTAAAATGTCTCAGGGTTGATTCTTACAATGCAATCCCACATTTATGTTACCTAGGCCCTTGACATGGAATTTTGAACACATTCAAGTTCTAGAATTTTATAGCAGAGAGTGACTGTAGAAATCATTTATTCTATTTAACGGCTATGCCCAGAATGTGGCTTTAATTACTCTCTTACCTTCATGAATGAGTATCCTATTTCCCCAACTAGATTCTATGATCCTTGAAAGCAGAAACTACTCTCTCATTCTCCAATGTCAAGGATGGTTTTGAGAACATGCTGTGTATACTGCATATATTCAACTAGTACCTCCCCATGCCTAACACAGAAATTAATGAACTCTCGTCATTACAAAATAAGTGAAGAATCATATCAAATGATGTGTGTGCATGTGTTATATACATGGGTCCACATGATCTGCTTGAGTTTTTCACTAACTTAACTCTTTTTAACTCATTTAACTACTATGACAAATCCTCTGCCAGTTCCCATTTCTAAGCCTCCTAATCATCAAATACTCAGGGGGCAAAAACTTCTCTTATTCAGTGACTTGAATTTAAGAATCTGTTGTAATTAGAACAGCATGGATATTGTCTATATTACCTCTGGTTAGCCACAGAAAATCCAGAAAACTCTAACTTAAGGTTGACAAAACATTGGCAAGAAGAAACACTCAGATAAACTTGTGTTGTTTTTTTTTTTAACTCAGTTGAACTTGTTTCTTTTCTAAGCTGGATATAGTATGTGTCTCTGATGATTGCTGTGAAGATTACCTAAGAAAATGGGTGCAAAATGCCCACTCTTGTTAGTCCTCAATAATATCTATCTTATTTTATGGGAGAATTTTGTGTCTAGGCATAGTGAGGCTAAGTTAAACATTAAGAGAGAAAAACCTACCAAAACTCTGATATTCACAGTGCTCTACTTTCTCAGCAATGCACCAGGCGATTGTGCTGGTCACATTGAGCCATGACTGATGGCATAAGTGGCATTTGATTGTTTATCAATTGATACCAGCAGAACATTGAATTGATTAAATGGTACAACTGAAAAATTGAATTTAGACAGACTTCCTGGCACAGCACCTATTCTACATATATTCCATCTGTGTGTAGTGATTTTCTGCTGTTCATTCCATCTGATATAGTCTATGTTTGGATAATTCCAACAAAAGAAAGAAATTTGCTGAAATATCAGCAATAAGAAGTGAATAAACAACAACCAGTGAATGAAGAAACAAACCAGTCTTGCAAAGGAAAAAGAGAGGCTGAGAGTCTATTTATCTCAGAAAGAAGACACTCTCCTTCTCTTTCCTTCACAGTAGGAGCTGATGGAGCAATTTCTTGTGGTTGAGAGAACAGAGTTTGCAGCAGGCAGCACAAATCTACTTACTCTCTTACTCTCCCACAGCCTGTTTTCCTTTCCCTAGGGCCGTTCCAGTAGCCCAAGGTCACTTTCCCAACACACCTTACTGTTTCTGAATCTTACAAAATAAACTTTTTGTGCCCTTTTCATAAATGTAAAACATCCAATCAATCCCTGGAGATTGTGGTGCACTGAAATAGACTTTATTTTCTTTTTATCCTCACTAAAAAGAACTTACTAAGCTCTACTTTGGGACATTTATACTGTGAAAGGTATATATAGGATTCTTTTTGCATTTTTAAAATATTCAATTTTATTTTTAAATGAGTAGGCTTTTAAAAACTATATAAATTCCTACCTTTGCAAATCTCTCTTGAGTCACTGAACTAAAACGACTAAAGTGGGATTTTGATTTGTGCCCTTCTGAGCCTGGCATGAAGTTGAATAACAATAATCATGGAAGCACAGCATTTCCTGTGCTCCTGTTACAAAGACAATACTGGACACCAAGCAAGTACTATACTCATGCTCTAGAGAGGAAGTCAGCCAGTTGGACAATAAGGAAGCAACAGTAAATGCAGCAGTGACCCCAGCTCGTTTCATGGTCTTCAGTGGACAGGAGACATTGTGTTGAGCACTGTACATGAGCTATTTCTCACACATATCTTATGAGGTTCCTGATGAGAAAACTGTGACTTAGAACTGATGAAGGTCTTTTGCAAAACCACACAGCTAGTAAAAGCCCACGTGTAATTCCAGAGTCAGACTTCTCAGATGAAGAAGGATTCTGCTGGGGTATGAAAAAATATCATCGCTGAGAGGAAAAGCAAAGCTTCCCAGAGACATGAAGTAAATGTTTATGTACACACATGTACACACACACACACACACACACACACACACACACACACACACACACACACACCTGCTAAAAACTTTCCCAAAGCAGTATTTGCTTTAAACAAGCTCACAAGGTAGAGTTAGATTTGACTGTGGATGTTTTCTAAAAGCAGATGAATTTGGGGCTGGGCTCTGAACTTGAGGTAGAGCATGGGCTAGTGGAGATCTGAAGCTGAATGTACAATTTTGGGATGGAGAATAGCTAGCTTGAGGCAGTGGTAGGAATGGACAGATTCTGCTGGAAAATACCTGTGCATAAAGGAGGCAGAGGTTTCAGGTGGGAAAGAATGAATGACAGCAGTGATCTGGATTCCTGAGTCTGTTGGACGGATAAACAGGACAAACCTCTAGCACTTGATAAGATACTCATCAGAGAGCTACTGCAGGTTCCTAATGAAAGGAATTCTATGGTTATTGTTTCTGGAAGATTATTATTGTAGTTGTTTATTGGACTGGTTGCAGATAAAAATTGAAGATGAGGAATAGTAGTCTGAGATAATAGAAGCTTGAGCCAGGTGGTAGTCACGAAAGAGAAAAGGAAATAGCTCTTTTTTTTCTTTCCTTCCTTCCTTCCTTCCTTTTTTTTAAATGACCAATACCTGAAGGCATGACTTCAGGGGTCTCTGCAATTTCAAAATGGCTGAACCAGTTATTAGTCCATAGGGTGAACTGCCAAAGGAGCAATCACAGCTAGATATCCTTGAGTTGGAGCCTTGTCTACTAGAGACGATTTTAAAGCAGAGTGTGGGCTGCCTGGATGCAAAAATAGGAATTTCAATCTCCTCTTGTCATTCAAGTTGTTCTCTCCATTTTATTTTGCTTGGTGCCCCTAATGATCAAAGAACACAGGGTCCCAGGATCAAAGATAAAACATCCAGTTAAAGGCTGCCAGCATCACCCAGAGGCCTGGAATTCTCTGTATAACTTGACATGAGGGTTCTCAAATGCCTGTCTTCTAGACCCCCAGCCTCATCTACCGCACCCTCCCCCTCAAAGCCCCTGAGCAGGAGCACTTACCGCAAGCATCCACTTTGGGAGGAAGCGCTCTCCACGTAGTGTTTCAGAGCAAGTTGGAATTCTTCCAAATCATCTTCTATCACAGACATCTGACGCTGTACCAGCATGATGTGCTGCCAAGGAAAGGGCAAAGGTTACTGTCTTGGCAGTCACAGAGCCAGGTTTAAGCTGACTCCTACTGCCCATTCCATTGTCCCGCTTCACAAAGCCAATGACTGTCATCCAAAAATGTGATCAAGGAAGGCCATGACTATTCCAAGTATAAAGCTGTATAAAGGCTGTAATATAAGCAGGATATTCTCCTTGCCTCTAGTAACAGAAGCTAAACAAAATGTCCTTTATGATGACGTGTTTCCCTTTTAAAAGCAGTGATTCTCAATTAGAATCACTGGGGACATTTTAAAATTACCTTTATATTTATATCAGAATCTCTGGGAGTGGGCCCAGGCACTGGTATTTTTTTAAAAACCTCCGTAAGTATCTCAAATGTGCAGTCAAGGCTGCAATCACTGCCCTAGAGTTATTTACCAAATTTTAAAGAGAATTCCTATTGCACACTGCACACCTCCAGCTTCTACTGGGCTGTTTAGTGATATTAGACAGATGTCACAATTATTACAAACAACCACGTTTCCAAAAATATGTTCGCTGATGCATTTCCAATGAACTTTTACAGGGTTCTCAGGCATATTTACCACTTAACAACAATCCCTGTTAAAGAGGTCATGGCATTAGATGGGTGCCTATGTTTAATCACATTGGGTTGGATGACAACTGTTTCTCATAGCAAATTCTATTAGCATAATAGCAATTGCAGTTTGAAGACCTTAAGAGCTGCCTTTGGGCTTCTCATGAAATTTAGATCTCACCATTAAACTTTTCCTCTTCTTTACTGGATAAAAAAATGTGGTACATATACGTGATGGAATATTATACAGCCATAAAAAGGACAAAATTACAAACTTTGCAGTAAATTGGATGGACTTAGAATCTATAATACTGAGTGATCTATCACAGAAACAAAGAACTGAGTACCACATATTCTCACTCATAAGTGGGCCCTGAACCATTATAATACTATAAGAAAGGTATTGGCAGTAGTGGGAAACTGCCCAGAGGGAGGGGGCACCTTATCAATAAGGGTACCTGATTTCAAACCAGGTGAAGTGGGGACCAAAGTGAGGCCTAAACTTTACCTACACAATGACCATTTGTATACCTAACCTTGAATTGTATCCTACAACTTTAAAATTAAAATTAATTAATTAATTTAAAAAAACTAACTTTTCCTCTTCTTTAAGAATTGGGAGTAAAATTATAAAAGGGAAAATAAAAGTAAGAATTGGTGTGAATGATAAAATTGCAAAAAACCAAACCAAACTAAACCAAAACAAAAACCAACAAAAACTCAAACAAAACACAAAAATGTAAAGATGATCTAGAAAAATAACTTGCACATCATTAACAGCTATGTATCTTAAAAGAACTAGAATTAAACCCTTGTCTACTGTCCCCTATTCCAATGAGTTTCTCCCTTCATGTTAAGAGCTACTATCTGTTGAGCACCATTTATATTGTAGACACTATGTTAGGCATTCGGTATATTTCATAAACACTCCTACTTTGTGTCAAGTAAGGACAAGGTTCTGGATTCTGGGCACGGAGTGATGGATCAAGTTAGAATGCTCATCTTCATAAGGCTTATAGTAATGAAAAGAAGCTTAAAAACAATCCTGGGTAATGGCATTAGATATGGTTGGTTACTAGCACATGAAAATGACTAAATGTAAATTGATTAAAAATCAACTAAATTTCTGAAGAAAATATTGCCAAAAAAATCTTGATCCCAGTCTTAAAATCCTCCTACTGTTTAAACTTTAAAATAATATTTGGGCCTACAGACTTATATGAGAAAGAGACAGACTATGGATAGTGCAAAACTTCCGAGAAGGGCAATTCTCCTCAGTGGTCTGTTCCAGATGTGATCATGGAAGATATTGGGCCAAGAAAGATCTTTCATAGGAGCAACGGATTGCAGAGTTTCTCACAGAATAGAGATCTAATGTCTCATCGCAGAACTTCGTTGAAAAATGCCTTCCCAGTATAAATTTACCATTGCGATCAACCAGTGAATATGATGTGTTTCCCTTTTCTGAATGGCAGTTTTTGTAGCATTTATCCTGACTCAGTTTTATCATTGTATAGGAAGATAACTTATCTCATCCTCCATAAGTTTGTCAGACTTCAAGGGACTATATTCTGAACTCAGAGAGAAGACTGAACATCAACCAGAGATCATACATTTTTTAACTAGAAGACTCACTGGAGGGAAGTTTGGGTTATCTCCCTTGTGGAGGGATCTGTGTGTGTGATCTACACGTGGAAAGAAGGATGCAAATGAATATTTGATCACCAGAAGGTGGATTGTGGCAGAAACTCCAAGTCGTTCACTCCTCTTCTTTCTAGGTACATAGATTCTGCATTCAGTTCTCTCTTGCCGTTAGGTATAACCAATTGATGAGTACTCACCAACAGTTTATGAGCAGAAGTACTGTGTGCCACTTTTGAGCCAAGACTTTTGAAAAACCTATAAGCCTCCTTCACATTCTCTTTATCTTTTCTGTTGGTAGGATGAAAATCTCCTTTGAGGAATAGCAGAACCACAAATGAAAGGATCTTGTGCCCCTAAATCAGGGGTACCCAACCCCTCCCCCTCTGGGCTACACAACAGGAAGTGAGTGGCAGGCAAGGGAGCAAAGCTTCATCTGTATTTACAGCCTCTCCCCATCACTCCCACTACTGCTTGAGCTTTGTCTTCTGTCAGATCAGCAGCAGCATTAGATTCTCATAGGAACATGAACCCTATTGTGAACTGTGTGCGCGTGGGATCTAGGTTGTGTGCTCCTTATAAGAGTCTAATGCCTGATGATCTGAGGTGGAGCTGAGGCAGTAATGCTAATGCTGGGGAGCAGCTGCAAATACAGATTAACATTAGTGGTGAGGTTTGACTGCACAGAGACCATAATAAATCAATTGCTTGCTGACTCATATCAAAGCCCTATCAGTGAGTTTCAAGTGAGTTGATGTACTTCAATTGTGCAGCTGCATCTGGTGGCAGGCTTTAAGTCAGAATCCAACATTTATTTTAGTTCGTGTGTGGCTCACTCATTATTATATTTACCACTTTCATCTGTATCTCTTACTCACATTGCACACTTGTCTCAGTCGCAGTTTGAGTAAGCCCACAAGCTAACCCTAACCAAAATGAGTAAAAAAACAAATGTCACTGGAGGACTTCTTTGAAAAGGAAGAAAGACCCAATGATAAGATAGCAGAAGACTCCTAGACTGCCAACAAAATAGAAAGCTGCATTTAGAAGAAAATACCAAGAGTCCTATTTAAATTAAGTGTTCATTGTAACAGGCAATTCACATTCTCCAAGCCTGCTTTGTACAATATGTGGCAACCAGTTATCCAACAGAGTCATAAAACCTTCAAAACTGCCTCATCACATGGAAACCAAGCACCCTGCACTAAAAAAAACAAGCCTTTGGAGTTAAAAAAAATCAAAAACAAAACTTGAACACAAAGAACAGAAGCAATTATTGACGGCCATCACTTCAAATATATCTGCACTGACAGCATCATTTTTAGTGGCTAACCACATTGCTGAAGCTAAGAAGCCCTTTACTCTTGGTGAAGAGTTGTTCCTGCCTGCTGCCAAGGACATTTTTCGTGAATTTTTAGGGGAGGCTGCAGTTCAAAAGTTGCATGTGTTCCTCTTTCAGCAAGCACCATAACTAGATAAATTGAGATAGCAGAGGATATTGAGGCACAATTATTAAAGAGGATTAATGAGTCATGTACACAATCTGGGGTTTATGAGTCTACTGATATTGACAACAAGGCAACAATGCTTGTTTTTGTGTGATATATTTTCAGCAGGATGTGCATGAGGATATGTTATGTACACTTTTGTTGCCAACCAATTCCACAGGTACAGAACTATTCAAGTGTTTGAATGATTACATATCAGGAAAACTGAAGTAGTCAACTTGTGGCAGTATACACACGGATGGAGCAGCTGCCATGACTAGATAGTTTTCTGGTTTCACTACTTGGGTCAAAGAAGTAGCTTCTGAATGTGAGTCTACACTCTGCGTCATTCATAAAGAAGTGCTGGCTAGCCGAAAAATGTCACCTGAACTTAACAACGTTTTGAAGGATGTGATTAAAATTAGCAACCACATTAAAGTACATGCCCTTACTGCATATCTGTTTGCATAGCTCTGTAAGGAGATTGACCCAGAGCACACAAGTCTTCTCTTATACACAGAAGTGAGATGGCTTTCTAAAGGTAAATTACTGGACAGAGTTTTTGAGTTAACAAGAGCCAATCCAGAGATTTCTTTTAGAAAAACAGTCACCACTGGCAGCACATTTCAGTGACACAGAATGGATCGCAAAACTTGCTTACTTGTGTGACATATTCAACCTGCTCAATGAACTCAATCTGTCACTTCAGGAGAGAGCGACAACTGTGTTTAAGTCATCTGATGAAGTCTGCTATATTCAAAGCCAAACTGAAATTATGGGGAAAATGAGTGAACATTGGGTTTTTGACGTGTTTCAAATGTTAGCAGAGATTTTGAAAGAGATGGAGCCATCACCTATCTCGGCTTTCACAAGAGTTTGAGCATTACTTCCCAACCACAAAAGATTTCTGAACTGGGAATGAATGGATCTGCGACCCATTTGTGAATAAGCCAGGTGAATTGACTTTGTCCGTGCTAGAAGAGGGTCAACTCCTTGAGATCACAAATGACGGTGACCTTAGACATATGTTTGAGACGTCTTCACATCTCCATATGTTCTGGATTAAAGTCAAGGTGGAATATCCTGAGATTGCTGCAAAATACATTGAAAAGCCTGCTTCCATTTCCAATATCTTACTTCTGTGAAACAGGGTTTTCTGCAGTGACAGAAATCAAAACAAGATTATGGAGTAAACTGGACATAAGCAACACAATTCAGGTGTCACTGTCTCATCACCCCAGATGGGACCATCTAGTTGCAGATAAACAAGCTCAGGTCTCCAACTGGTTCTGCAGTA